TCACCTCTTTGTTTAGGTTCCCTTCCCGATGGCGGAGGCACTGAGCGTTAGTCGGGCGACTTTCAGTTTCTTGTGTATTGGTCATTGGACGACGCCGACACAATCGATGACGGCGTAGCCCCAGTCGGCAAATCCGCAGCCACCTTCACGCGCAAGGGGACTTGCTTTCAGCAGGAGAGATGGAAGGGTAATCAGAAAGCCATGCGCGAAAGGACGCAGCTTCGAGCAATTGAGGGGGAATTAGGAATCCACAGAGGCACAACGAATAAGTACCTGGAGGCCGAGGATCCCCTCACGCGGCATTGCCGAGCGGCTCCTGCGACGACATCATCTTTTGGTGTGGCATCACAACCGAGTGGCACTCTTGCTGAACACTTAACCCGACATTTGACCGGAACTTCGACACCTCAGAGGTACTATTTCCCGCCGCCGCCGACACTTCGTTATCCCTCCCAAAGAGGTCTAATCCGCGAGTCCCACGGCGTCGTCGATGCGCGCCATCAGCGCCGGGTCCAACGGGGCTACCGCCTCCGCCGCGATGCACTCCCGTAGCTCCGCCCGGTTCTTGACGCCGAGCACCACTGTCGAGACACCCTCCATCGAGAGGGCATAGCAGTGGGCCAGGTGCGCCGCACTGTGCCCCACCTCCGCGGCGAAGGCGCGGAAGGGCGCCGCCCGTGCGTAATCTGCCAGCTCCGTGTGTCCCTCCGGCAGCGGCCGGTCGATGGCGTCCGTGAGCGCGCCGGCCTGCACCGCCCGGATGCCCATTACTGAGGCCCCGGCGGCATTGGCTGCGGCGATGATGTCGCGGGGACGCTGGGGTTCACTCCCCTGGAACAACCCGCCCGCCGAGTCCAGCAGGTTGGCAATGCACTGGATATAGTCCGGGCGAGGGCCGCGGGTCAGCAGGTGGATGAGGGCGTCGGTATAGCCGATGCCCGTGAGACCCCAGTAACCAATACGCCCCTCCGCGATGAGCCGCTCAAAGGCCGGCGCCACGGCCACCGCCACCGTCGCCACGCTGGTCAGCCGCTCACCGCCTTCTTCCCCCAGCGTAACGGCGTTGTGAAGGAACATGACGTCCACCCGCTCCAGCTTCATACGCCTCAGACTGCCTTCCAGGCTGGTGGAGAGGAGGTCGTAGACCTGCTCCGGCGGGGTAGCACCGACCCGACACTTGGTGGTGACCCGAACCCCCGAAGGCAGCGCACCATCGAAGGCATCGCCTATGACGCTCTCCGCCTCGCCATTGCCGTAGGAGGGGGCCAGGTCCAGAACGTCTATGCCGGATTCCACGGCCTCCCGCACCGTTGCAACCGATTCCTCTCTCGTTGTGGGGCCCCACACCTGGCCCAGGCCTCCCCCGCCGAGGGTGAGAGCGCTGGCCATGCCCAGTTTACCGAAAGGTCTTTGTTGCATGTCGTCCTCCGGACCCTGCCCGTGGTCTATAGATGTAGGTTGTGGGTCTGCCCGTTAATCGGACTGACCCGCCAGTAGGATACCACTGCTGGCCAGGCGCTGTTAGGCAACGCGTGAGTAGACGTATGGGACTACATCCTCAAGGACAGGCTCCCACGCGGAAGCTACAAAGGGTATTGGCTTGCTTACATTAATTCGCAAAGGAGGCGGGGATGGGATGAAGACCTTGTGAAATCGAGACTAACCGCAGCCTGTAATGTTTGGTTGGCATGGCACTGCCAGTCAGAAGTTAATTTGGAAGTGGTCATGGGAGCATGGGATTGCCTGCGATACACATGGTCCTGGGTTGGTATGATGGGCAGAAAAGGGCGGGGATCGGTCATGGCTCTCTGATGCGTTTCGAACAATGCCGTGTCGTCTTAATGCTTGACGCTGGAAAAGATGTTTCGCTGAGATTCCCAGTGGGAGTAAATGTGGGTATATTCATGGGTCAACCGCCAAGTGAGGCATGTAATGGTCAAACAGACTCGCATAGAGTCAAGGATTTTCTTTTCAGGAATGACCCACAAGTATATGCCAGGGGGTTGGCAAGGTTTTTCGACCACTGGACAGGGACGCCTACGAGAGACAGAGAATAGGGAGGGTTAGTGGCACAGCGATGTTGGGTATCTTGCCCTTTCATAGCCCATTCCACATCCACCTCCCCCTTTCCTCCCTCCTCTTTATATTTCCCATGACACCCATGTCCTCATTTCTCATCAATAATCGAATGACCCTGGACTCGTGCCTGCGGCATATTGACAACCTTCTGACCTCAATGGTAGCGTGCTGCGCACTTGCTCTAAGGACAAACAGACATGGTTCTCACTCAGCGCTCCGAAAATCGCAATTGGCGGCACCGCTAGATGAGTGTCGGCTGTTTTGCTTTTTTCACGGTCGTCCGAACTCAGTCGGCAAGGATAATGCTTCTGAATTAGAGAATTCTCAAGAATCAGTTGATGGCAACGGCGGGAAGCTCTGGCCCTAAAAAGAGCTTCCCGCCGTCTAATTTTCCTGAAAGAGATCACTCGGCCTCTGTTACCGGCGGCTGGGTCCTTGGATATCGATGAAAAGACAAGAGTCTTCATAGTCCTGTCGCATCAACCGAATACTTAACAGGGTTCTGGAAACAATCTGACCTGCATTCGAAGGAACAGTCATCATTTTGGATACATTTTGGCTTTTAGAAGCGCTTTCGTTGAACAGTTAAAGTACGACATGCAGTAGGGTGAGGGCCTGTTTTTCCGGGTGCCCAATGTCCCTCTGGCTGTGGTCCTGGCATGGATTGTCAGCAAGGGGTCCAGTTCCGTTCCCATAGACTATTTGCTCGTCGGTGTCCTGCTGATGTTCATTTGGAATAGAGTTTCAATCCGAGGGCTGGGGTAGACCGATTCATCCTTGGTTGCAGAGTCCGCAGGCTAATTCTAAACTTATAGATGGGCTGCTATGTCTTCGACCAGAGTTGCACCAAGAGTCCGTTAAGGAGTTCAAGAGAGGAGGTCTCCGCGCACATACTATGATGGACCAGCCGATAAAGAATGTCCTGTTCGACTTGGACAACACCTTAATCGACCGCTCGACGGCGTTTGCGCGGCTCTTTGAGCATTGGTATCACGCCTTGCCCATAACCGGTCGGCCAACGGACAAGGAAGAGTTTGTATCCCGCATGGCTCTGAGGGGTAACGGCTCAGAGCCGATTCCTGACATCTACCAGGACGTGCTGGAAGAATGGCCGGGCAGTTTCTCAAGCCTGGAGGCAGCAGTCGATGCTCACTTCAGCATGTTGCCCAATCTGGTGGCCCTTCATCCCAAGGCCGAGTTAATGTTGAGAAACTTCCGGGCACATGGAGTTCCAGTAGGTGTGATCACCAACGGCTACTCGAAGGTGCAGTGGAGTAAACTTAGAAACACCGGTATCGCGGCACTGGTTGAAGCCTGTGTGGTTTCTGAGGACTTAGGCATTCGGAAGCCAGATCCCGCTATTTTCACCATGCCCTGGAGCTGATAGGTGGAGAAGCAGAGTCAACGTTATTCGCAGGCGATAGTGTTGTAGATGATATCATTGGGGCTTTCCGCATGAAAATGAGGACTGCATGGCTGTCCCTGGGCAGGGCGTGGGAGGTCCAGTTTCCACAGCCGGACTACGTCGTCAACCAGATCTGGGAAGTCGAGAAGCTTGTGTTTCCTTCCAATGCTGGGTAGCGAGAGTCCAGAGACCCTACTTGAGAAAATCGGCATACCTAAAGGATTCTTGATGTCGGCCCGTGTCGGCATTACGGGCAACCGCCAACCTTGTCATATCAATCCGACAACCCTGGGTCACAACCCCCGTTGCCATAACGGGCCCTGTGATTCGCCGATGCTGCAGATGGCTTTGACTTCGTACTTTACGAGCCCTTCTTCAGGTTAGCTCATTGACCAGGGATCAATTCCTCGGCGGCGAATGTGGTGTTCGGCGCGGCGGGGGCGGTACCTCCTGCAGACTGCTCAGGTCCAAGGGCGGAATATCTACCTGGATAAACTCCTGCACGCCGTTGGCCAGTTCGTTGTAGCGTTCAAACCATGACGACAGCCGGCGCCGCCATGCCTCCAGCCCACCGCTGGCATGGAGCTCGAAAACTGCCTCGCGTCCGTCCAAACCCGACGACACCTGGTCCCAGGCCAGTTGCAGGAGCGCCGCTCGTTGCAGAGCAGTGTAGCCGCCCCCGCCAAAGGCGTCTTCAAGCTCTGCGGCCATCTTCGGGTCTTCAAAGTCGGTGTCGGCCGGAGCGTTGACCAGGGAGGAACCGGGAAGACCCCGCAGGATTTCACCCATTCGCTGGCGAACCCGGAGGGTGTTGATTCCCTCCCGCGGCGGCCAAATGAAGCTGGTTCGGCAAGGCATGCCCGCCTTCCGTCGTTTCGGGCTCCAGTTCCGCCGCCGCCATGCAGGTGCGAGTTGTCTGGACGTTGACGGTCAGCTCGACGAGTTGCTCAATGGTCTGAGGATTTTCCTTGAGCCCCATGACTTCGGCCAGGCCAAGACCAAGGCCCAGGGTCAGTTCCGCCTTCGCAAGCCAGCCGTAGCTATGATGCCAAAGCAGCCAGGATACGAGAGAGTGGCGCCCGTTCCGGTTAATGGGTTCACCGGTAAAGACGCGGGAGCGGGGGATGAAAACGTCTTCCAGCCAGACCATGGAGTCCAGCTCATCAAATCTGCTGCTTAAGGGTGAGAGGAAGGGATTCGGATGCCTGGCGGCACGCCGTCGCGACACCACCCGGAGGCCGCGGGAATTCACCGGGACGATGAACCACAAATGCCTGCCGCTGCCCGGTGGCAACTCGTCCCTGCTGGTGATCAGCAGGTCTTCTGCGAAGGGCGTGCTGGTGTGCATCTGGACCTTGCCGGTCACCACGACACCTTCAGCAGTATCGTTTACCAGGCGGAGGGCCACGCGCTCGCTCTCGTCCTGGCGGAGCCGCGTCCCGATCAGCGGCCCACCTCCAGCGAAGGTGAGAAACCGGCCACTCTCAGCCAGCGACTCCAGATACGTCTCAGCCGCCTTAATCTCCTCAGAGGAGTTGTCCAGCCGCTTCAAAACATTCAACATCCCCAGGGCGATCAGTGCGCCGTAGCCTGGGGTGTGAGTCATGTTTCCGCCAGTGACGAAATGCACGGCGCTGATGGCTTTGCCCAGGCGCCTCAAATCCGTGGACGTTTTCGGCGGGGTAAATGCGAGAGGTTGCCGTTGGCCGCTTCCATCGAGCGGGGTGAGAAGGATATCCTGCCACTCAGGGTCGAAATGGCGGTCGTACCAAGCAACGTACTCATTCACCATCGCCGACGTCCATGGGTCTGTCGTGACATCGGTCGCAGGGCCCTCTCCTACTACCCACACGTCGCGCCCATCGCGCAAACTCTCTTTGTATTCAGCCCCTGTCCGCATATTTCACTGTCCACATAATTACCGGATCCGATTTACGCCAGTCTTTCAAATAGTTGCCTAACCTGAGGGTAATCTGGCCCCATTGTCCCAGCATGAAATTACTGGTTAGTCCGCCGCCAGGGCCAGCAGATGCTCGTCCGATTGGCCTTCCAAGTCTACCTTTTTACCGTCTTTGATAATGGCGGAAAGATGATGGCCCTTTTGCAACACGCTGATGTCGGCCAGGGGGTCTCTGTCCAGGATCAGCATATCGGCCAGCCTGCCGGCCTCAATTGTCCCCAGCTCTCCTTCCATCCCGACGGCGAAAGCGTTGTCCCTGGTGTTGGCGACTATGGCTTCCATGGGTGTGTAGCCGCCGTATTTGACCAGGATTTCCATTTCGTTGGCGTGAAGTTCGCCGTAGGGCATTACTGGCGAGTTGCCGCTGTCGGTGCCGCACAGCACCTTTACGCCCATGGCTCGAGCGTGTTGCAGCATGCCGTAGCCGCCTTCCAGGTTGTGCCTTATCTGGTCGACCTCTTTGTCGCTCCTGCCAAAGTCCCGTCCAACCTCGACGGCGTGCTTCAGGAAAGTAATGGTCGGCATGATGCGCACACCTTTCTCCGCCACGACCTCAAGGTCGGCTTCGGTGGCCAGATCGGCATGCATGATCCAGTCGAATCCAGCCTCCGCAGCGGCGCGGGTCGAGGCCGATCCCCTGGAATGGATGGTGATACGGGCGTTTCGGCGGTGGGCCTCCCCAACGACCGCCTCCAGTTCTTCTTTGGAGATGGTCTGAAAGTCCCCCCAGGTACTATCGGCCATCTTTATGAAGTCGACCCCGTGCTTGCATTGCCGACGGACCTCGGTGATCATTTCGGACACCGAGTTGGCCAGCACGCCGTTGGAATGCTCAGGCGTGCCCATCCATGAGGGCTCGTTGTCGGAAATACTGCCGTAGGTCACGATGAACCGCCCGGCGCAGTAGATGCGGGGCCCCTCTATCAAGCCGGCGTTTATCGCCTCCCGAAGCGCCACGTCGATAAACCAGGTGCCGCCGGGAATAGAAACGCTGGTGACCCCGGACCTCAGTACTGCCTGGGCGTTTATCGCTGCCCTTATGGTGGAGAACTCGGCGCTGGTGGCTCCCCGGGCGATGCTCAAGCCGGGCATGGCCGGCTGGCCAAAGGACAGGTGGCAATGGCCTTCTATCAGGCCCGGCATAATCCACTTGTCGGTAGCGTCGATGGTCTCTATGTGATCACGGTCTTCGACATTAATCTCTGGTGGGACTGCCCCAACGCTGAGGATGCGGTTTCCCTGCACCACCACGGCGTCGTTGTGGGTCGCCGGCTGGCCAGTTCCGTCAATGAGGGTGCCGTTGCGGATTATCGTGGTCTTGGCGTGGTTGGCGCTCATGGCCTCCTCCTCCGGTATCTATTTCCTTGCCGATTGATGGGAAGCTTATTGCAGTTGGGCAGCAGTTCCCCGGAAGTAAGCTGCCAGTGCTCCAACCTGGCAGTGGATTCCCTGGGTAGATTCAAGCTTGCAAGTCCGATGTAGTCCAAGCCTTCCGCTTCTTTGGAAGGGTTGATGACTTCGGCGCAGTCCTGGGGCTGCCGGCCACCGCCCAATCGGGCAACTTCCACAGCACTCACTGCCCAAATTCACCGTGGTGTTTTCCTGCATGTTAGCAGGTATGTACATACCCTCTAGCATTCAGCCACTTCCCTGGCCTCGGTGTTGGCCGTTTCACTGTCCCTGGCTATGGCTCTGGAGTGGTGGGCTCCGATTTCTGCCATGGTGAATGTCCTTGTACCCTGGCTGCTAAATTCGTTCAAAGTAGCGCACACGTTCCCAGTCGGTAACAGCGTGCCGATAGGCGTACGCTTCTGTGGAGAAAAAATGTACGTAATGCTCCACGACCTCCTCGCCGAAGGCAGAACGCGCCAATTTGCTCCCTTCGAAACTCCTTACCGGCGCCTCCAGGCTAGCTGGCAGCAACGTCTCATTCGGCGCCGAGTAGACATCTCCCAAGTACGCTGGCGGAGGCTCAACCTGTTCCTCAATGCTTGCCAAACCCGACGCGATCACTGCCGAGTAGGCGAAATAGGGATTCACATCGGCTCCCGGGATCCTGCACTCAATTCGTAGACGTGGCCCCGCATCCACAATCCGAAACCCCGCCGTGCGATTGTCCGGAGACCATGCCAGTGCCGTGGGAGCCCTGCTTGCTGAGCATTGAACGCCGCGCCATTGCCACTGGCAATTGTTTCGGCTGTAATTCAGCATCGCAGATTACGAGAACAGTCAAGTTGCGCCACGACATCCTCCGGGCCGTTAGTTTGGAGACGGGGAGCCCCACTTTGAGTGTGAGTCAGCTACTTTCGGGCAGCAGAAAGCTTCCCTGGTTAGGAAAGGGCTCTTACCCAGGTAGCAGCAAGGCTGTTCTGTTGAGGCATGTGGCACTCTCAGTGATCTCTTGTATACTCTGGTATACAGTCACGAGGTGCTGGTCAGTTTGCAAACGCTTCCCGCATTTTACAGGGACTTTACGGTCTTAACAGGCCAACTGCTAACAAGTTATACCAAAATTACTTGGACACAAAAGTCGGGCTCGAATGAAGGAAATGCAGAGAAAAGAGGGGTCTGGCGGAGAGAGAGTCTACTAAAGAACAGCCAATTTAGGTTCAGTTTTGGCCAATTGAGGGCATAAATCGTTGTCCGTATACCTTTTAGTATACCTTTTTTGAATGGATTTCCCAAAAAGGTACGGGTTGAAAGCTTAGTTAAGCTGTAATAGTCAGGATTAGATCAGACACCCATTGCAGATCTTGATTAAGTGTCCCCAAGGTATAGGAGGGAGTGGCATATTTTCCGCTATGCCCGCATGTACCTATTTTAGCCGGACATTTCCACACATTAGGGGACATCATCTAGGCCACACAGGGAAGCCGTGCCGCTACTATAACAATCCAACGATCAAGGCATTCGCGTTCCCCAAAAACGTCATCTTGGGCGTAGCCTAAGAATCTGAATTGTTGCCCGCAAATCATCCCCAGATATTCAGTTGGTCTCCTCGGGTGGAAGTTCAGACTCT